CTAATTGCAGGAGATTTATTAAACTAATCTTGTAATAAATAGAACTGCTTAGCATAGATTGGCAATCTTTTTCCGTGCTCATCTATTTCCTACACCAACATCAATATATCTACTCCAGTGGCTAACCATATTAGAAAACATCATAATAGCGATGCTTCAAACCTTAAATTTCAGGCTATTGAACAAATAGCACTTAATTCCAGAAAGGGGAACTTTAATCTTAAACTATTAAAACAAGAATCAAGGTGGATTCACACCCTGATGCGCGTTTCGTCTGTCAGCTCATCAGAGGGAAACCGGGAGCCTTAATTTCCCGGTTTTTAAGGGTGATACCCTGTTTCGATTGGTGACCGTTAATTTTGAATTAGCCAATAAGGTGTAAGATACTCATCACGTGGGGACTAGAGTGATAGTGTAATTAAGACCGGGTTTAATGAACCCTTCATACTCCGATTTCTAAATGAAACAATAAGATATTAAAATTTAAGGTAATAAATAAATTGATACATGAGGAAAAGACCTTCAATGGTTGGTATTTTGAATTAATTGAGGAAAATTTTAATTATTAATTAATTATTGTAATTTCAAGTTCACAAATTCTAGGATAGTAAATGCACACTTTCATATCACCCCTAGGATCACTGAAAAGATATTACTATAAGCTAATAAATGGTATAACATTAGATTGATTAATCATCATTCATAACCCAATGTTATAGTTGTACACTCGATGTCCCAAAAGTTTATAGTGTAATGTCCTGTTTGAAATACCATTCTAGCTTGCCCTTTGCTTTATGCTAATTCTATATAATTGCCTTAACTAATATATAAAATGTTAAAGCCTCTACTGGATTGTGCTTCATTGAATTTGAAAACAAGAAGTAATTATAAAATAAAATATAAATAAACTTCTAATACATCCCGCGCACTTTACCATGGGAAGCCTAAATTGGTATTGTATATAAAGGACTATCTCTGATCTTAGTAATAGGTATACGAATCTGGATACCCTTAATAAAGGGCTATTTCCCTTATATCGTTATTCAGATTATACTTTGAACACCAAGGTTCAGTTAGTTAGTCATGATGTCCAATATTTTTCATTTATACAGGAACTTGTTGTGTGGAAGTTGGAGAATCGTTCAATAAAGAACTTATTGTGTAAAAGTTAAAGAATTATTCAATAAGGGGAGACTTTTATTATTAAATTGTATACTCGTAAGTATATGTATGGAATCCCTTAACTGAGGGACCTACTTTACCGCCAGAATGGTGGTATTAAAGTAATTTACTTTTCAAGTTAGGACCAGTATACTCCAAACGGGAGAAATTGATCCAAATCTCTACCCATGGATGAAGGGGGTAAAATTAAACTCTTCATTTAGACCCCTAGGGGTCAATGTTCTAAGGGTGTGAATCCACCTTGATTCTTGTTTTAATAGTTAAAGATTAAAGTTCCCCTTTCTGGAATTAAGTGCTATTTGTTCAATAGCCTGAAATCTAAGGTTTGAAGCATCGCTATTATGATGTTTTCTAATATGGTTAGCCACTGGAGTAGGTATATTGATGTTGGTGACTGAATTCACGTGCTGCAGTATGCGTCTTCTGAACTGTTGATACGTTTTTCCCACGTATTGAATACCGCAGCTACACCTGATAACGTAAACTACCTTTGTGGAGGAACAGTTGACAAATTGTTTGATAGGAAATTGTTGTTGTGTTTGAGTGCATTCTACAGTTTTAGATGGATGTACATACTCACAGGCTTTGCAATGTCCACAATTGTAAATACCTTTAGTCATGGCTAACCATGACTTTGTTGGTGATTCTGGTTCCAAATGACTATGTACCAGAATATCTTTCAGATTTTTAGGTCTGCATGCTGTAATGCTGGGCCATTGAGTTAGATGTTTCGCCAAATCCTTTTCATGTGTTAGAATGGGCCAATGGTCCTTGTAGATTCTTCTAATGGGATCCCATAGCTGGTCAAAGGTCCCAATACAACGTATAGGTTGTTTTGCCATTTGTGGTTTTGTAGTGCGTAGAGCAGTTGTTCTCTCTATTGCTGATGCCCGTTGGTATGCCCTTTTCAGAACTCGGTTTGGGTAACCTTGGGATTTAAACCTTATTCTCAGTTCTTTTGCTTCTCTGTAAAATGACTCATCATCCGAGCAATTTTGCCTTGCTCTTAGATACTGGCCATACGGTATTCCCGCTTTTTGGTTATATGGATGGTGACTCTCCCAATGGAGTAAACTATTTGAGAGAACAACTGCTCTACGCACTACGAAACCACAAATAGCACTTAATTCCAGAAAGGGGAACTTTAATCTTTAACTATTAAAACAAGAATCAAGGTGGATTCACACCATTAGAACATTGACCCCTAGGGGTCTAAATGAAGAGTTTAATTTTACCCCCTTCATCCATGGGTAGAGATTTGGATCAATTTCTCCCGTTTGGAGTATACTGGTCCTAACTTGAAAAGTAAATTACTTTAATACCACCATTCTGGCAGTAAAGTAGGTCCCTCAGTTAAGGGATTCCATACATATACTTACGAGTATACAATTTAATAATAAAAGTCTCCCCCAATAAGTTCTTTATTGAACGATTCTCCAACTTCCACACAACAAGTTCCTGTATAAATGAAAAATATTGGACATCATGACTAACTAACTGAACCTTGGTGTTCAAAGTATAATCTGAATAACGATATAAGGGAAATAGCCCTTTATTAAGGGTATCCAGATTCGTATACCTATTACTAAGATCAGAGATAGTCCTTTATATACAATACCAATTTAGGCTTCCCATGGTAAAGTGCGCGGGATGTATTAGAAGTTTATTTATATTTTATTTTATAATTACTTCTTGTTTTCAAATTCAATGAAGCACAATCCAGTAGAGGCTTTAACATTTTATATATTAGTTAAGGCAATTATATAGAATTAGCATAAAGCAAAGGGCAAGCTAGAATGGTATTTCAAACAGGACATTACACTATAAACTTTTGGGACATCGAGTGTACAACTATAACATTGGGTTATGAATGATGATTAATCAATCTAATGTTATACCATTTATTAGCTTATAGTAATATCTTTTCAGTGATCCTAGGGGTGATATGAAAGTGTGCATTTACTATCCTAGAATTTGTGAACTTGAAATTACAATAATTAATTAATAATTAAAATTTTCCTCAATTAATTCAAAATACCAACCATTGAAGGTCTTTTCCTCATGTATCAATTTATTTATTACCTTAAATTTTAATATCTTATTGTTTCATTTAGAAATCGGAGTATGAAGGGTTCATTAAACCCGGTCTTAATTACACTATCACTCTAGTCACCACGTGACGAGTATCTTACACCTTATTGGCTAATTCAAAATTAACGGTCACCAATCGAAACAGGGTATCACCCTTAAAAACCGGGAAATTAAGGCTCCCGGTTTCCCTCTGATGAGCTGACAGGCGAAACGCGCGTCAGGGTGTTTAGGGTGGCGTAGGAAATAGCTGTGCACGGCAAAAGATTGCCAATCTATGCTAAGCAGTTCTATTTATCACAAGATTAGTTTAATAAATCTCCTGCAATTAGAGAAGCGCCTACCAAGTGCATTTACCTCTCTAACAAACCGTTTCCCCTTGTTACACCATTGACGTGGGGGGGCCGGTATTCGGGGCATCGATCAGTCAGGGATAGTAAGGATACAGTATTTTGTTAAAGTGTTTCCGAGAGGGCTTAGTACGGAGAGCTAGGAATATTTTTTGTGCCTTCCCTCTTTCCCTTTGTTATTATATGGTTTATGGGAACATATCTTTTCTCTTGTCTTCTTTCTATCTGAGTCTCGTTATATTAATATGAGAAGTATATATGCTGGGTACCTAGGTTTTCATATGGATAGCGTCTATTTCTGTCTTCCGTTGGGGTTTGGGTATTAAAACAAGCGGACATCTAACGAACAGGAGATTCCCTGCACTTTAGACCACATAGTAACAAGAATAGTTAACTACAGTTACAACAATAAGTAACAAATGTTACATTGGGTAACCGCTGAAGATTCTCAACTCCAGCAGGTAGAAGAGTTATAAACTTACCAACGGGCGAATTAATACCCAGTGATATTCCACGCTATTAGAAATCCTTGAGTAACAGGGGATATTATCCTTATTATTTTTTAAGAACTATTACCGGACAATATTTATTGGGCATAGACTCATCTATCCTCACACGAATTTATTTGATAATAAGTAAGATCTTTCATGTAAATTCACTTGTGAGACTATAGGATCTCACTTTAGGGGCTAATAAAGCCCGCAGTAGGTATTTCACTACATAGTTTCCTTTCAGTGAAATTATTTTGTTATTTATTTATCATTTTTTGTTTATTGTTATTATATGTGTTTTGTGTGCACTTTTTTGGTGTGATAGTGTGTGTTTAGTGTCCCCATCATTAAGGGACCTTTTAATTGACATATTAAAAGTGACGTTTTAAATTGAAAGTTTTAATAAACTATCTTAGTGTTCCTCTGGTGGTCAAATATTGTAACACTGGAACAACCAATAAACACATACAATACACTCAGACACTCCCACACAAAATCCTCCCCTCTGCCTGTGATACAATTACCTTACACAATGGGTAATGTAATTAGAACAAGCAGAGAAATACAATTTTTCCACATTATTCGTACCTTGAAAAGTATGCATCACATTCACATACTTACATTTTCAGAATCAGCATACTCCAAATACACATATGTCAAAATCATCCAAATTGGTCCAGTGGTTCAAAAGATAGATCGTAGTCCTTTGTGACCAAAGGAAGCATGGCGTTTCTGCCCAAAACCAGTTCCACAGAGTCTTCTATCCTGGAGATAATTGTGAAGTAATCCAATTATCTCCAAGGACAGAGGCAAAACTCCATTGAACACATGGCAGCAAAAGACAATAAAACACATAAAACATATAACTGTGCAGCCATTGCACAAAACAGGTACATTCAACATATCCCCAGATAGCTCAGATCTGAGCGCACATTATTACTGAATGGCGCTCAGAGCACACACATACAGTTCAATTGCCATGGAGCCAAAGTCTTTCCCATAGTCTTTCATTATACGAATGGGCTCCATGGCATATGTATCACCGCTCAAACAGGGCAAGCACCAAATGACCCGGCTTTCATGTCTTTGCAGGGGAAAATCAAGCCTTTTAAAATGGGGCCATAATCCAAAGGCAACAGACGAGCAACCAGGCTTCTCCAATGCAATGTGGCGAAATTGGTCTCGTCACCTAAACTAACATCATTCGCGGATTACATACTTTTAACAGTGCAGGACCCAGAATACCCCACATTTACTTTAGCACGCTACAGCGCTGCGTGACGCGGTTCGTGTGGAATGAGAAAAGAGCATGCATAGAGTTACGGGTTATACATAGACCCATACGTGAAGGCAGCATAAGTCTGACAAATTTTAAAAAGTACTATCACGCAGCCATACTGAGTAGCATTGTACAGGCCAGGCCCGGTGCTCATGAGCCTCAGTGAAAACACTTGGAGTCAGAATGGGCGAATAAAGCAAGCACTGACAATCTAGTATGGACCCCGGCCGAAAAAAGACCACAAACCCCGGTTTGCCTCCCAACCACTAGTTTGACGTTATCAATCTGGGACACAAACCACAAAGCCTTAACGAATGACTCCTCTCACAAACTACCAATGATAGCACACTACTCATACCGCCAACTTAACTCCTGGATGAACGCACAAATACAATCAGGTTCCATCTCTGTCACTGGGAGGCAGCTGACAGATTTCGAGAGAATGTACGTGGGCACTAAACCCCCCCAAAAAATTATTTCCTCTATATACACCGTACTACCTAGAATACAGCTTTGTTAAAGCTTGGGAAAAACAGTTACAAAAAACATTTGACGAACCAGAATGATCACACTTCCCACATTTGACAAATTTCTGGAGGGACATAGCTAAACTCATTGAAGATAGTACAGGAAGAACCCTGCCTCACAAAATGGAACACTATATCCTATTTAATTTTTAAGCTTCAATCTCAAAACCATACAGATTTCTTATCTTTCATATACTCGTAGTATAGAAAACATTAACCAAACACGCCTCTATGAGACGACAAAACACACCTCCCAACAAGCAGCACCTACGGGACAATACTGGGAAATAGCTTGGGAAGCCTGGGAGAAGTTCATGAAGGAACTTCCACAATAGCATTTCAATAACATAATACTGCACATCAGGATCAGACAGCTGAGCCCATCCAAACCCTACAGTTATAAGTATGCATAACTAACTGACCAACATATGGTATTGCTGCAGCTCCACAGACAGTAGTCTAGAAATCTGTACCCACCCTTCCTACGCCTAGTTTCTGGTTATATAATTATTCCGTGGAATACTAGACTTAAACCTTGTATCTATGTATGAGAAGGAACAGTGCTACCTATGTGACACCCATTTCCTGTATGACATTGAATGACTCAGGCATGACACGAGCCTCACCGAATCGGTTCCCCAACATCCAATTTGTTGCCTTTCTTCACTGCACCATGCATGACTACACTTTAACAAATTAACAAGAAAACCAAGTAAAGTTGTGACATATATGCTTGTACAATGAAGACTAGCTTTCCCCCCACCCCCTTTCTTTTCTGTATCCCCACATTTTGAATTATTGATGATGAAAAATAAAAGTTGTCAGGTTGAAAAAATATATATATATATATATAAATTTTCAGGAATTCAAGGTGAATTCAGATTTAATTTTATGTTTTTGTGAAAATATTGAACCTAAAAACATCTAACTATGTGACATTTTTAAACTTGGCAATTATTGCAAAGTTTTAGTCCACAATGAAGTCCTCAAAATTCATTGAATTCATAAAACTCCTCTCCCTTATATACCCTATCTCATCTCACTTAGGTTACTCTCACGTGAGAGAATTGGGCCACTGAGACGAGAACAGAAATGCCACCTGCCAAAATTCTATCTAGCTCCTCAGCCCTTGACTGACAATGATATACCTCCACATCAATACCAGGTGAGGGATAAGCTGGCCTAGCCAACCACAAGTCGATATACAATTATAGTTGTAGCAGAGCGCTAGTCTAGCAGGGACTTTTCTCCGCTGGTTTTCTCCAAGATGACTCGGGAACAAAGAAGATTTTTCACAGGAACAGCTAAATATAGCAAGGCAAAACAAGATTCTCCCAACATTTCCCCAGTAACTGGACAACATTCAGTTTAGGGGGAATAACTGAAGGTTTAATGCCTGCACACTGCCTTTTATATGATTTTCCCCACAAGGTTACCACCCAGGTGGACCTTGCGAGGCACCGAAATACAAAGTTCACAGACCAATGAAACAGGGTTATACATAGAGACACTCCCATACAGTATGTACAAGCCTTCCCCTCTGCCTGGCAGATAATTGAGGTAGATAATGTAATAACTCAATTATCTCCAGGCATGAAAAACAATATATTTCACATTTTCGAGACGTACCCCAAAAATATTAGATATCCCCATAAATGACACATCGCTGGATAGCTCTGTTCTGGGTGAACAACATATCCAAAAATCACCCATATCAGAGCAGGGCTTTCACGAATTCTGTGGAAGTCACATTTGACCGACCGCAAGTGTTTTCATGCCCAAAAGAGTTCCAGAGAATTAGGCTGTGTGCCCGGTCTATCTTCTCAGTCACATAATGGGTAAATTGCACGAACGGATCCATTTGTGCATAACTTCATTAGATGTATCTGTATCTACCGAATAGCGCTTCGTTCGTGCACTTTTAGGTAAACTTCGATGGAGGTGGAAGTCCCAACGGTGTTTGTGCCGTCAAGTGTCCGATTTTAGTTCCATGCACTCGACGACCAAGCACTGCTGCCTTTGTTCGTGTCCCCTCACACTCAACTTATGTCTGTCATTGATATGTAATAAGCACTGTGAAATAGGTCGAAATGTTATAGATACCAAAAGTGTTAACAAAGTATGTATGTATCAAGTCTAATTATCACCCACCTTTTCTTTTCTGTACCCCTTACGTTTTTGCAAAATGACAAAATAAAAAAATTTGTCAAATTGAAAAAAAAATGCTAAAGGGAGAAAACTTACTGTCTAGGGCAAGCACGTCAAACTCAAAGTCTAGCACGGGCCACATAAACAAGGTTTAAGTTTATGTGGGCCGCAAAAAAAAAAAGCCTTACATAGAAACATAGGTTTATTTTGAAAATTACAGTATTAAAAATCCCCCAGCATCCCCCTCTACTAAACCACAGCACCCCCTCTACTAAATCTCAGTCCCCCATATAAAAAATCCCAGTCCTCCCCCTCTACTAAATCCCAGTCCCCCCCATATACTAAATCCCAGTCCTCCCTCTATACCCAGCACCCCCTCTAGCCAACAAGCAGACTCCACTTACATTGCGCTGCCATGGCGAGCTGCCAGCCTATACATTAGGGTGTTAAAGCTAAGCAGCATATATATATGTATTTATGTATATATATATATATATATATATATATATATATATATATATATATATATGTGTAATATATATGTATATGTATATGTATATATATATATATATATATATATATATATATATATATGTGTATGTGTATATATATATATATATATATATGTATATATATATATATATATATATACACATATACACACATACACACACTGTGTGTGTGTGTGCTGTGTGAGGGTGCTGTTAGTGTGATGTGTGTGTGACGATGCTGGTAGTGTGCTATGTGGGTGAGGGTGTTTGTGTGTGCATGCTTGTGAGGATGCTGTTAATGTACTGTGTGTGAGGGTGCTGTTTGTGTGTGTGTGTGCGCTTGTGAGGGTGCTGTTAATGTACTGTGTGTGAGGGTGCTGTATGTGTGTGTGGGTGCTGTATGTGTGTTGGTGCTGTGTATGTCTGTGGGTGCTGTATGTGTGTGGGTGCTGTGTATGTGTGAGTGCTGTGTGTGTCTGTGGGTGCTGTATGTGTGTGGGTGCTGAATGTGTGTGGGTGCTGTATGTGTGTTGTATGTGTGTGGGTGGGTGATTGTGGGGGGTGGAGGTGGGGGTACATTATTTGCTATCCCCCCTCCCTTCTTACCTTTTGTAGGGAGGGGGGATCGTGCTGCTGCTTCCTTCCCTGGTGGTCCAGTGGAGGAGGGGATCCTTGCAGCTGTGATCCCTGGTGGTCCAGTGGAGAGTGAACTCTAACCCCTGTGGGGCTAGAGTTCACTCTCGCGAGATTTGAGCATTGCCGTGGCAACGCTCATATCTCGCGAGAGGAACCCGGCGGAGCTGCCGGCAATAGCACCGCCGGGTCCTCTCCTGCCTCCCTCCATGCATGCGGGTCAGTGGGGAGGGAGGCTGAGAGCAGAGCCGGCGCTCGGATAGCGCCGGCTCTGCATGAGCCGACAGGGGAGATCCTGAGATCTCCCCTGCCGTCTCAATATACATAGGTGTTACGACACGTACCGTCGGGTAGATGAAGCCGCCGTTTAGGCAATAATCCCTTTTTCCAGAAATGCAGTTTAAATCCAGCGGATCGCCAAACTCCCGAACGAAGTCCACGAACGCGGCAACTCCCGATCAGCTAAACAGTCGAACGCCTTCCACAGCTAGAAATAACGAAAGCGCTGTCCCAGTAATAATTCCCCCACAAACGAGACCAAGCTCCGTCTTGAGGGTCAAATGAAGTTCTGTTTAATGGGGGCTACCTGCCCGGTATTTATGCAGGTCTCCACAAGGTGGACACTCCCCAAGGGGACCTTGTGGAAGACTGTAAAACATATTGGACAGTAGCCAATCGCAGTGGCTTCAATAATAGCCCTTCCCATCTTACCCATAAATCCGTCTTCTCTACCCCGGAGATAATTAGGAAGAAACCGTTCGTGCAATTTACCCATTATGTGACTGAGAAGATAGACCGGGCACACAGCCTAATTCTCTGGAACTCTTTTGGGCATGAAAACACTTGCGGTCGGTCAAATGTGACTTCCACAGAATTCGTGAAAGCCCTGCTCTGATATGGGTGATTTTTGGATATGTTGTTCACCCAGATCAGAGCTATCCAGCGATGTGTCATTTATGGGGATATCTAATATTTTTGGGGTACGTCTCGAAAATGTGAAATATATTGTTTTTCATGCCTGGAGATAATTGAGACCCAGGTGTTAGCCTTCCTAGGGACAGCAGGGTACTATAGACGCTTTGTCCCCGACTACAGCGCTATTGCCAAACCCCTGACTGACCTGACCAAGAAAAATCTTCCTAAGCAGGTCCTGTGGTCTCCAGCTTGTGAAGCTGCGTTCCAAGCACTCAAACAAGCTCTTGTGAATGCCCCTGTCCTGGCTGCCCCAGTCCCTAACAAACGTTTTCTCGTCCATACAGATGCTTCCATGTATGGACTGGGGGCTGTGCTGAGCCAGGTCGGGGAAGATGGAGGAGAGCACCCTGTCGCATATCTCAGCAGGAAGCTGTTACCCAGGGAAGTGAGTTATGCGGCAGTGGAGAAGGAATGTTTGGCCCTGGTGTGGGCATTGAAGAAGCTAAGCCCGTATTTATATGGACAGGAATTTTCCCTGGTGACGGACCACAATCCCCTTGTCTGGCTTAACCGGGTCTCTGGAGACAATGGCAGACTGTTGAGGTGGAGTTTAGCACTACAGCCATATAATTTCACCATCACTTATCGACCCGGTAAGCAGAATGGGAACGCAGATGGATTGTCCAGGCAAACCGACATCCTCACCCCATCTTAGTCCGGTCATCCCCACGTTGACCCGCTAAGGGTCAAGCCGGGTCTGCCGGAGTGTCCCACAAGGGGGGAGCCGTGTGACAGATTCATCTGCATTGTTGGTTCGTCTGTTTCCCTTTTGTTCGCGGAATTGCCTGTTCCTATACCCCCGTTCGTGTAATTTGCAAAATACCGATTGAAACTACCGAACGAACGACCACCCAGGAGAGGAGTGTGCTGCTGGTTAACCTCCTGGCCCCAATTAGAACGTTGTGGTTAACCGCAGACACCTCTCCATTCCATTCGTACGGGTGGTCGTCGTTCGCATGTCGACCACGAGGCAGCGGCCATTTTGGGACATACGAACACCGAGCGGTGTTCGGTACAAACTGTATGGAACTAAAAGCGGACACTTAAACTACCGAACACCGCTGAAAAGCTGCTGCCTACCTTCCTTTTCGACAAGGCATGCGAACGTCGGTCGTTCGGGAGTTTTATTCATTCGTATGGACTTTCACCCCGACAGCCATCCCATGGAGTCATTCGTATACCGAAGGACTGGTGAAGGACTTTGACTCCATGGCGATTCGACTAGATACATCAGATCTGAGCGCTATTCGGTGAAAACATGCACTCAGATCCAGGCTGTCTGGGGATACGTTACACGAACTATATGCATTCGGTATTTCTTCAGTTATGTATTTTAATGTATTTTTATTACTGTAAGTTAAAATGGCGATTGTCTCTACCTTGGGAGATAATTAGGTTTCTTCCTAATTATCTCCGGGGTAGAGAAGACGGATTTATGGGTAAGATGGGAAGGGCTATTATTGAAGCCACTGCGATTGGCTACTGTCCAATATGTTTTACAGTCTTCCACAAGGTCCCCTCGGGGAGTGTCCACCTTGTGGAGACCTGCATAAATACCGGGCAGGTAGCCCCATTAAACAGAACTTCA